GATTTGGCTTTACTAGTGGGAGAGCATCCCGGCCAGTTAAGCCGGACGTTTTGAAGGAAAACTCAAGGTTTGCCTATCCACACGGGGCGTTGAGCCATTGTGGAAACAGGTCAGCCTTAAAGTCTTCCCGGCTGACTATCCAGTCTTTCGAAAAGACTTGGGTAAAATTGTATTCTAAGCCGGGTAAATACAGCCGGGCTGTTATTTATTAATCTAAACGGTTAAAGAATCCAAGATGAAGAGAAATGATAACATAAAGCATATTTTCATTAATATGTCAATGAAATACAAAAGTGCCCGGAGGCAGACCATTACATCATATATAAAAAAAAGAGAGAAAATCAGATGAGGAAGGAAGGCCGGATGGATCAGATGCCCGGGAAGGGAGGTTCAGGCGCCTCGGAGTGCAGCTCGGGCAGAGAAAGAGCCTTTGGCTGAAAACTTTGGATCCTCTGCTGAAGGATGCCATAAAGGGCCTTCCGCTCCGAGTACTGGCCGCTTTCAAAGCCGTACGTTCCGATTTCATCGACGATCCCGGCCGAGACCTCGTACTTGTACAAGCCTTGGAAGAAGCGGATGGCAGTCTCCCGGTCAGGCAACGCCTTAGCAGCAAACTCCTCAGGCGTTTGAGTGGCCCAGGCAGCAGCAAGGGCGGCACGCTCCGATTGCTCTTTCTGCAGCTCATCTTCCAGCCGAGCGATTTCCTTGGCTGACCGGGCATTTTCGGCCTCCAGCTGATTGATCTTGGCCTGGGCCTGCTCATCGGCCTCTTTCGCAGCCTTGAGGAGACCATCGTGCTTGGCATAGAGCTGGCGGTAAACTGCACAGTGCTCTGTCCATTTGGCCTCTATCTTCTCTGCCTTGGCCCGGGCAGCCTGGGCTTCCTTCCGGCATTCGACCATCATGGCCTCCATCCGGGCCTTCTCCTCATCCATCGACTTCACCAGCCGGGCGAAGTACTCCTCCCCGATCCGGCCGACCTGCTTCAAAGACATCGAAAATTACTCAGAAAAGTATAAAAATGGTAGGTAGGCAGTAGGAGAGGAAAAGGGGTTACCTCATTCATATCAGCACGGAATGCTCGGAAGAGCTCCTCGTTTGACCTGGACATTAAAGCCAGAGAACGAGGCACTATCGGCCCCTTGCCGGCGTCGGAGGACTGGGCCCCCTGATGGGAAGGCTGGTTGACTTCCTCAGTCTTCCGCTTCTTCCGTTGAAGGGACCCCCTAGAAGTCTCCTCCTTGGCGTCCCTTTCCTCATTAGGCCGGCTCCCACCCCCGCCTGGGACGTATGCCCAGTCTCACCCATCAGATTGTCGAACTCGAAGGTGTCTACGTTGAAGTAGATCTCCCCCGAGTGAATCGGCTGGCTGGTCCCTTGGTGAGACTGGGCCGGCAGATCATCCATCAAGAGTGGTTGGCTGGATGGAGGAGTGAGTGGCTGAGCGGAGGAGGGCTCCTCAACCACGATTTGGGGGACGACAAACTTGGATTGAAACTTCACCACTGAAACAAAAAAAAGGAACCGGTTAGAAGAATGCAGTTGAGAACAAATTAATTCGAATGAAAAATGAGAAGGGCGGTTGATTGACCTTCCTCCTTCTTCTTCTTCGCCGGGCATGAAGGACCGGCATTGGTAGTGGCCGGGGCTTTGGATCCCCTCGCCTGACGGATGGGGATGGCTTCGGGGATCACCCCGGGCAGAACAATCTCCGGTTCGGGGTCGGTTTCCCGGCCGGGGTAGACGCTCCACTTCCCAACATGGTACAGACCGCGGGTGGAGGCATCCCCGGCCCGGAGAGTGGCTTCCCAAGCAACCAGGTCATCGGCCTCCGCTGGTTTGACCTGGCGCTTCATTCTTTTCCCCTAGACGTTTTGGGCAAAAGGAAAGGCGCCCGGGGGGAATTTGACGCAGACATATTTGTCTTTCCACTTCTTGTTGGAGGGTGGAAGACCACAAAGGAATGCTCGACCTTGGTGGGAAGACACCACCACGAATCCAAGGGTTTCCTTGGACCCGGGCCGAACATCGAACATATAATCAAAGAGGCGAAGAGAAAGAGGAATACGAAGAAACCGGCAGACGTTGATAA